TTCTTCTTCTTCTTCTTCTTCATCATCATCATCATCATCATCATCATCATCATCACCTTTATTGTGACCAGTCAGAAAAAAGTAAAACAAGTAAAAATAAAAAGATATAAAGATATAAAATATCTTTTGGACCAGAACAGATGCAGATAGTGCATATACAGGTGCAGAACTGAGCAAACCAGGAAGATATATACAAATAATGGTCAGATAGTAGAAGTGACAAATAGAATTCATGCTCTCTACCAGGAAATCTCTTCAGGATATAGTAAATAAAAGTTGCTTGAGATCGCCTGGAGAGAGCAATGAAAAAGCAAATGGCTCAAAGACTGAGCCATCCCCACAAAGATGTATAAGTTGATGAAGGGGAGTATTTTTGTAGCACTCCAACATGACAGCAGAACAACCACCTGGCCAAAATGAAAGCCCAATGGAATTTCAGAACTATGCTAAATGAAAGGTAGGAGGTTGGCACCAACCCATTTGAAAAGACCACACAAACTGCAAGACTGGGAACCAGATTTAAGCTGAGAATCAATGTCCACAAATTCTGTTTAAAAATATTTCCAGTATTATCAAAATCTAATGAGCAAAGCATCTCCAGAGAGAGTCCTAGGGAGTGAAGCTTGCTAATCACCTTTTAAAAACAGGTTTCTGTTGTCTCTGAGAACCAGTGGAGCAAGAGCCAATGTAGAGAAGATAAATTTAGCCAAAGGTTAAAAGAGTTGATACCAAGCTCTAGCATGATAGGAAACCAAGTCTGCCTCTAAGCAAAGTGCAATGTTTTAATGCATCTTGGGACTGTAAGGATGGTGCTAATAAACTTAATGGCTTCAAGGATGTCAATGTTTCTAAATGCATAGACTTGAACACCATATTGGAGCTGAGAGATTAATTTGACTACAAAGACCTTGCCCATAAGGAAATATTATATTGATTTTATCACTGTAGTTTATCATGACCTATTTTGAAGTGAATCTGATTGGTTATTACTGTTGCTTCTTACTGGGTTCATCCTAGTTCCTAAAACAAGAATTCTTGAATGTATTTATGTATTCATGTATATTAGGAAGAAGCCTCACCCAAATCTATAGCTATAAGAAATGTTTTGGGTTGGTTTGTTTGCTTAACTGTTGTTATTTATGGGCTATATTGAAGTAAAAAATTGTTTTGCTTGCTTCCTGCTGGGCTCAGCATGGTGATTGTGTTGCAAGTATTGTTTTAATTCATTTCCATTATTTCCTATGCAAATTTTTACAAATTTTTTTTTAAATAATCCCTAGAGTCAGTCTTTGTGTAGATTAGGTGATAGCACTCGGCCTGGCCTACCACCCTATTTATATTTGTGGTCCTAAAGTAAAAAGTGAAGGAAGAGGGGATTGCTTTAATCTCTCCGTATGCCCTATGATATAAAACTTGGAAATATTTTGCATGCTTAAGCCAATGGAACACTCAAGACATTCCAAATTTTGCTCCAAATACTCAGAACATTCTGGCATGGTCCATATTGGATTTTTTTTTTAATCCAAAGGATAATTTGGATAATTTCATTCCAAGGATTTTTTTTTTCTTGCTTTCAATCCCCTAATAAAGATACTGCTGGGGGAGGAAACTAAAATAGATTACATAGAGAAAGCACTTTGCAGATCGAGTGCAGACAGGGAGAGAAACTAAATACAATATTGTGCATGAGAGAGAGAAAGAAATGATGCGGTTATCCATCAATAATCCCCCAAAATTCTGAGGAGGGATAGAGGAAAAGAAATTTGCCATTCAAATCTAGAGCAAATAGACTTTCTATCAAAAATTCGCTAAGGTTTTTATGGCAGCCTAACACAGTCTCCTTATTAATCATGGTCCCTCAGAGTTCTTACTCATTCTGACATGCTATT